ACACACACACACACACACACACACACACACACACACACACACACACACACACACACACACACACACACGTGTCCAGTCCCGGTTGTGGAGGTACTGGTACAGCTGTCTTCTACAGTTTTTTTTCTCTTGGATTTTATTGTTGATCTGCATCTCTTGTCTTTGTTTTGTGGACCTTGAGTCTGTAACAATGTTTGAATAATATATGAAAGTGAAAGGTGAAAGTGCTAATAATGATCATCAGTGTATGTTCCCATACAATGACGAAATTTGTGCTCTGCATTTGACCCATCCACACCCAAGTGGAGCAGAGGGCAGCCATATGGGTGCCCGGGTAGCAGTTGGGGGTTAGGTGTCTTGCTCAAGGACACCACGCCATGCGGGCATGGTGGGGAGTCGAACCTGTGACCTGTGGGTCCCAAGGCCTGCTGCTCTACCACTACAGTACACCACAACCGCCCCCATGTTTTTATTTTTTTTAATAAAGGATATATATATATATATATATACACACACACACACACACACATCTATCTATATATATATATATATATATATACACACACACACACACACACACACACACACACAGTATAATTGTACCCGTTATTAAATAATCTGAATTGAAGGAATCAGGATTTAACACTTGATTTAATTAGACAGACAGATAAACAGATGGGTAGACCGATTGGTGGTTAGAGATAGACCATAGACAGACAGGTAGGCATATTGACATGTAAACAGACAGGTTGACAGATATATGGGTAGACAAATGGATGAGTAGACAGACCGTAGTTAGGTCGATGGGTAGGTAGAAGGATAGACAGCTCTGTAGACAGATAGCCAGGTAGACAGGCAGAAGATAGATGTCAGAAAGACGGGTTGATATGTGTAGTTAGATAGGCGGGTAGACAGACAACCAGAGTTGCAAAGTAACTAAGTACAAATTGTGAGGTTTGTCAGAACGACCCAGGCCGCAGGCAAAATCCAAAATGCAAAAAGGTTTATTTTAACTAAAGAAGGCTGGCAAAGTAGCTACAAAAAAACTAATATCTTCACAAGGAGAATTCACGAGGAACAAGGAGAACAACCACACTGACTGCAAAACAGTACAATGAACGGACACAGACTGAAGACAAGACACCAAATATAAAGTCAAACAAATTAAGAGACAATCGGAAACACCTGGGGAGACACAAGAGGGATCAGTGTGTGTGGGCGGGGCTGTAGGGCAGAGCAACACAGGGGGGCATTGAAAACACTAGAAAGTTAAAGAAAACAAACAGACCATGACACAAATACTTCTTTACTGTACTTAAGTAAAATTTTTGGTTATATGTACTTTACTTGAGCAATTATTTTTGAGCCTACTTTTACTTCTTAAATTTTCACACAATTATCTGTACTTTTTACTCCTTTCATTTTAAAAAAAGGCAAGAAGTAGAAAGTTGTTACTTTTACTTCATTTTTGCTTGTTTTCATACCAGCTGCTTATTGTAAAAATTAAATACTGTCCATGTAAACTGTGACTCCTAGATAGAGTGAATTTAATTGTGGTTGAATGAGAAGTATAAATACTGCATATAAAATTCTGATACAATATTAGTTTGTACACAAACAAATTATGTTACACTCCATCAGGACTTAATCATTAAAATAAAAAGACTGTACTTAAGAAGTATTTGTATTTCATGAATTGTATTTTTGCATTTGGCCACAGCCCTCGGATACATTTTTATTTTGGGGAAAATATTTGGGCAGCCTTGATAAACTGAAACACTGCATCCTAAATTTAACGTAAAATTTAAATAGTCATTTCTGGTGGAGGTCACTTCCTAATAAATTTAATTATGGAAAATCTAACAGCTCATTTTAAATCAATACTTTTTTTAATACTTAAGTGACAAAAAATTTCAGATATTTTAAGACTTTTACTCAAGTAATATTCATAAAGGAGACTTTAACTTTTACTAAAGTTTATTTTTGGTCAGATACTTATACTTTTACTCAAGTATCACTTTGTGTTACTTTATACAACACTGAAGACAAGTAGATAGGTAGACAGATAAACAGGTAGATGGTTAGATCTTCAACATTATGTTGCTTACACTGTACTTAAAATTTGGCTTGGCTTCTCAAATAGATTCTTCTCACAGTTCCTCTGTTTTCTGCGTCAGCCACCATAACAATAGAGGTAAATATAAAAATAAAACCAAGTTTTAGCATTCCCTCCAGGTAGTCATGGCAGCTCGAGAAAAATGATGAAATGACCCTTACTTGTTCTCTTTTAGCACAGCAGGTCAATGAACCTACAGCACGTTGCATCGTCTCCGCATTGATTGACCTGTCAGATCATGTCAGTGCACACACAGAATGCTCTGCGGATACACAGTGCTTATACATCATCTCGGAAGACCACAAATCTCTCTCCTCAAAGTACAGGGGAAAAAAATCTGAGGGCAAAACAAAAGCTGCTCTTGCCCTCCCACCAGTCAGGTTGCAAGGTTGACAGACTTTCTTATCTGACTTTTTGATGGAAAAGTCAGGATGGATTAATTCATGTAAGAGTCCCATAATCATCAGAGCTGGCCCAAGCTGAATTTTAACCCAAATTCTGACACATTCACACACAGGGGTAATGTTTTTTCTCCACTATGTTTCATTTTATTTTCTCTGCTGTTTGATAAGGTTTACGTACTATAATAACCACAGTTAACATCTTTTGAAGCAGAGTTTTACAGAAAGGCTATGAATAGATATTGTCTTACCTGTTGTGGATAGTTTTTTTAAAACAGTGTCAGTTTGGAGAACATGAGTTTAATTCTGACTAGATGGCTGAGATAACGGCCAGTCCAAACGAGGCCAAAATGATGGTGGGCTGCTTATTTTATATAGTAAATTCAATGTTAAACATACATATAGCAGTACAAAGATTTATTTGTATTTTTCTTTATACTCTGCCTTAAAAAGTCTGATATGTCACAGCTGATAACTGCTAATAACCATTTCACAAAACACTGCTTTTACAAACAACCAGACTGTCTAAGCAATAAGCTGCTTGTAAGAAGTCATTGAGCTTTGTGAAGAAAATTATCAACTTAAACAAGTTATTAGTCTTATGATAAACTGGAGCAAATGTCAGTAAATATTTCAAGAGGTTAACAATTTTTTGCAGAAAAAAAAGGCTCACAGTGAAAAATAATAATAATTTTAAAACATGAAGGCAACTGGCAAAATTTTTTCAAATCCTACTTCCTAAAATTTCTTCAAGAGTCAGACACCAAGTTATAAAACAGTGATATTTATAGCTGGCTCTCAATAGGTGCATCTCAGAGAAGGGAGACAATGATTTACCCCTGCTGAACAAGATATATTGATCGAATTACCAACACCTTTGATTAAACTCCACATCAATACTTTCCAGAGTTCAAGCACAAGGCATGCCTCAACATCAACTTAAGTGAGACATTATGAATGAGGCCTTCAGTGCTGCAAAGTTAAAATGGGAATCACAGGAAAAGAAAATCAGGGAGAACTAAGTAATTGTTTGGGTTGTAAAGACATGATAGGCCAGTGAACATGTATTTTTAATGAGGTAGATGTATCATGATTTTTGTGGGTTATTTACTTTCTCTGCTGCGTGTTTTTGAAGGAAAAACAAGTAAAGAGGCTGGAGGCACATAAACCAAACAATATTCATACAGAAGTAAAGAAGTGACAGAAATTAACCAGTCAGTTCAGTGAAATGATTGGTTCACAGCAAGTATAATCTGCAGAGAAAAGGGCGACTGAAAGGTGGACTGACGATGACGTGCAGTGGTGCAGAGTTTGTAGGGTTAACATCTGGATTGTAACTGTAGAAGATATTGACTGAACACAATCTTCAGAGTGCTTTTTCTGAAACACTGACATTACCAAAATGACAGCCCCTCCTAATGTTGGTAGAGTCAGAGCTGAAGTGTGCTGAAGAGGATGAAACAGTTTTTCAGACAGCCTGGGATGTGACAGCATGAAAGCACTGGCTGCACTGTCTATTGATCGGGACTTCACATGGAAATCACCTGACTTCACTGAAATGGGGATTAAACTCTCTGTCTCCTGGGTTCATTCCAGGGAGGTTCACTTTAAATAAGATATGCAATTCTCAAAACACATCTCGTGTTTACTCAGGCATTTCTATGTTGCAGTTTGTACAGGTTTTTCTGTCCTTTGTTTGTCATTCTTGGTAATCTCCAGGTAAAAAAGGGACATAACATGTTTTTAAAGGTTGTACCATCATCTGAGTTTTGTTTTTTATGTGTATCAGCCCACATGGTCAGTTTCACCACCATTCATCACTGTTGGAACAATAAATAACAGCTTCCTATATGAACATTTGATGTTTGAAACCAGGCTCTTAGAAAATGAAGATAATTAACTTGACCTGCCCACTGCCTTTATGCACGAGTTTTAGACTGAGATCATACTGTTGGTTGAGAAATAACAAAGTTGAGGTGGTTTTGGGCAAATCTTAATCTAACATAACTGGGTTATGTGCAGTATTGTGAAATATTACGTTGCTTAAGGTTAATCCTTGAGGAACGCCTGGAGATTATTTCCTTAACGTTACAAATTTTTGCAAAATACTAAAATTATTATAAACTAAATCATCATTAATTTCAGTTTATGGTCCAACTTATCTTTCTCTTCCTTTATTATGCCACTGTAATGTAGTTCTTTTGAAATTTTCACTATGTAAATCACTTTGAATTGCCTTGTTGCTGAAATGTACTATATGAATAAACTTGCCTTGCCTAATTAGTTCATTAGATATTTTGCTAACAAAAGGACAGAGTTGACTGCAAATAGCTAAAGGTAAAATTCTTGACCTTGCTCAGTCTATGAGCACTTAGAACAGGGATGGACAACTGGAGACCCATAGGTCACATCTGGCTTTCAGTGAGGCCAGCACACACACACTTAAAACTTAAAAACTTAAACTTGGAACTTAAAGGCTGCTTTGAGTGATTTTTAAGTTAAAAATGTTTTGATGATGTATTTAAATTTCAAGGCAAACCTATGTGTTCAGTCTTCTTAGAGATGCCATCTGCCATGAAGGATTTCAATATATGTCGCCACTACAACATACTGTATATGGGTGGCTGTGACTGAGTGTAAGGGAGTCTTCATCTAACCAGAGAGTTGGCAGTTCGATTCCCCACTAGTCAGTCACATGTCAAAGTGTCTCTGAGCAAGACATTGAACTGCTTTTGATGTGTGTCCCATCAGTGTATGAATGTGATATGAAGCAACTGATTAGTCTCTATAGATTGATTTATATGTGCTAGCTGTGCAGAGAGATAATGAAGTGCTGTGTGAAGGAGTAAATGAGGGCACAGATTGTATTGTAAAGCATGAGTATCCTGGTTGGATAGAAGGGCACTCTACAGTCCATTTACCATTGCACAAAGCTAAATATGAGAAGTTTACTGAAGTCACAATAACAGCAACTTTTTACCACAACCACACAGGAGTCTGCATTCAAAGCATCTTATGCTACTGCACTTCAGCCGGCTAAAGTGTTAATTTTTGTTTGTTTCAAACATTTTGTACAAGAGTTCAACAGTTATACATGCATTTGATCAGGAAATATGTTAAATTACTGCACTGTGTGTTGGTTTAAAATACATATATATGGTAAATGGACTGAACTTACTGTATATAGCTCTTTATCAAGTCCCTCCGGACCCCACCTCGCTTTACACTTACAGACATTCACCCATTCACTCACTGATGATGGTAAGCTACACTGTAGCCACAGCTGGCCTGGGGCGCACTGACAGATGTGGGGCTGCCATGCACCGATGCCACCAGACCCTCTGACCACCATCAGTAGGCAAGGCAGGTGAAGTATCTTGCCCAAGGACACAACAACTGAGACGGCTGGAACTGGTAGCCTTCTGATTACAGGACGACTCCCCTAACCACTCTGCCACAGTCATTTGTTTGTTTGTATGTATGTATGTATGTATGTATGTATGTACAGTATGTTTGTATGTTTGTATGTATGTATNTGTCATGTTCTGTGTTTATTCTCCTTAGTTTTCCTAGTGTTTTCTATGTTCCCCAGTGTTTCCTTGCCCAGCTGCCCCACATTTCCTTGATTGTCACCCTTGTGTTTCTCCTCAGGTGTGTTGTGTTTGTCTGTCCTGGTTCCTTGTGCTTTGTTCCCCTCGTGCTTGTGATCTACAATATTTGTAAGTTTGCTGCCAGCAGCCCTCTTTTGTTAATTATTAAACCTTTTTGTTACATTTTGAAACCTTGCCTGCGCCCTGGATCTGTCTCCTGTCAAAACCTCACAAGTTTAGGTTAGTTTTAGGGTAAATGGTCAGGGTTAGGATATAAAATTTCCCCCAAAAAATGAATGGAAGTCAATGTAATGTCCCCACAAGTATAGAGACACAGTAGGTGTGTGGTTTCGTTTTCTACTGAAGTGACAAAATAATAATAATTTACAGACAGCACTGTGACAGTCTGTTGTGTATAAAAGTATTTCCCACCTTGAAGCTGTGTAACTCTTGCCTGGTGAAGCCATTACTGTGGATAATTTTCATCTGTTTCACCAAAGTGCTTTTCCCACTTTCTGCTGCACCTGTAGGAACAAAGAGCTCAGGATTACATCCGGTCCCACCTGGTCAGGTCCCACCAAACAGTTCCCAGGAATCATCAAGATGAAACTGGTTGGAGAGTCTCACCCAGCAGGAGGATTTTAACCACGTTCAGCTCCTGCTTCGCGTATTCGTACAGGTCTCGGTCTATGTTGCAGCTGCGGATTCTCGCCTTCTTCTCTTCCTCTGTACCTTCGGTTCCGAGGCACAGTCCCATCCTGAGCAATCATCTCCTCCCCGAACCCGCTCGGTTAGAAAAGAAAAACTACTGTGGAGACTGGAAACCGGGATCAGTCCACAGAAACTAGTTCTCAAACGCGGACTTCATCTTGGACACCTTGGAGTCGTTCAGGCGCAGACGCATCGCACCCGGTGCTTCCTCCGCCTCTCCACGGATAAAACTCCTGACCTCAAACTTCGCTTTACCCGCTGAAAAAAACAAAAACAGCCCAGTTAATCCTCACAGTGCTGACTCCCCCTGCAGCCTGCTGCTGCCCAGATGGAAACCTTTTTTAACTTCCCTGGGAAGTGACGTGCTGAGTCTGTTCCGTGCGTTTCACCTGAAACACTAAACTACAAGTTTCATGAAGACATTTTAAAGGCTGCCAGTGCGACTGTTGCCCAAACATCCAACACTAATTTGCTTTTAAAGGTGCTCATTACAGTATCATCAAACATAAAAACAGATAATCCTGTTACAGTTTGAAATAGTAGGTTGTTGTTTTTTTCAGATACTGTATGTTGAGAAACATTTCTGAAATGCAGGTACGCACTCAATGCAAACAAAGCACTTTATTATGAATAGATTCAACAAATTATAGAATATATCAGAACTATTGGACTTCTCCATCCCAAACAGCTCTTCCAATGACATCTGCAATATTTTCTTTTGTTTCTTTGTTTCTTTAAGTAAGCACTTGGTAGTTGGCTGCCATTTAAAAATTTTGCTTACAAATTTGTATTGATATAAGAAACTTGAGTGTGTATATATACTGTATACACACACACACACACACACACACACACACACACACACACACACACACACACACATTTTTTTAAAACGTCAGTTTTATTATTGTAGCACCATGTGGCCCTAGGGTCAATATAAAATTATGACCCCTTCCATCATTTAAGTTGCCTATTTCTGTCTTAAAATATGTGCTGCAGATCAGAGTCAACTACTACCAAAACTAAATGTAAAATTTGTCAATTATCTTTACATTTTTCCCGCCATAACCGATCAATGAATGACAAACTCAGAAATAGTCAGACTGTGAGTGGTACTGAAGAGGCAGGACAAATTGTACAAAAGGTAAGTGATTATTTACAGGAGTGGCAGTGGTCATCTATCTGAAAAGGAGGGGAAGAGTTCCAAGACCAAACGGTTTGAGAAGTTGAAGATTCAACATTGTTGAGAATAATGAGATTTATTTTCTTACAGAACTTAGAAGGCGAGGAGACTCCAGGAGGATTGTAAATCCAAAGGTAAGTTGATGATTCTTCAGGCAGAGTGGCATGTGGTAAAAAACACCCGAACAGTGAACCCTTTTGTAAAACCTTCCTTGGCAGAGTTTCCAATGGCGCTCCAGGCAGCAGGAACTTTGTGGCGGTGGAACCTTAACAAAGATATCAAAGGTAAGTAACTTTACTTTACTTTACTTTACGTTACTTTACTTTAGCTTAGCTTAGCTTAGCTTAGCTTAGCTTAGCTTAGCAGCTGAGTTCTCTACCATAAACAGAGAGATGCATCAGCTAAGACCAGAAGTTCAGGTGGAGCTTATGAATGCCAGGAGCTCATTATTGAAAACCGCCAACAGGTGAGGTGATTAGTGAAGATGAGGAGGGCATGAATATCCACCATCTTCACGATGAAAAGAAGCAGAACAGTTTTCAGCAATCTTCAGATTGGATTTTAAATATGTGAGAAACTACAGCTTCCTCAGATGTCTCATCAACCACTCAGAATATGTTAATTCTGAAAATTTTACTTGTTTGTTTGTTTCATTCGTTCATTCGTTCGTTCGTTCGTTCATTCGTTCGTTCGTTCGTTCGTTCGTTCGTTCGTTCGTTCGTAAGTTTGGTAGTATTTGTGCAAAAACAAAAATCAAGTCCATCAGTTGAAACCTAATACCCTGATTGTAAACCGTTGTGTCAGTGAGAAGGGTCTCCAAAGTTTAACTGGTATTTATGAAGTATATGCAGCTGAATGTGGTTCATATGTTATGGTGTGTATCTGTTCCCTCAGGCAGCTCTGTAGAAACAGTCATCAATCTGTCTCCAGCATTTCTTTATATTCTTCATCAGTGACTTTCATTTCCTCTGTGATGGCCCGAGGAGGTGGTGGTCAGAGGAGGATGCAGGCAGACAAACAGTGCAGAGCTCAAGTATGATTAGATATCACTCTAATGGCTACTTTAGTGGTCTGCGTGGATCACCTCTGGACACAGACAATGCACACAGAGTGTGTGGGTGTGTGTGTGTGTGTGTGGGGGGGGGGGGGGGGGCAACAGCACAGGCAGCCCATGCTCTAAAATATTTTCCAACATTGATTTGCTCTTCTTATTCCAAAGTTCTCTCCTGTGTGTAAAAGAAAAAAAGATAAAAACAAATGGCAGCGCTGCACCAGCTTTATTGTCTTAAATCTTAAATGCTGATTTGTTATAGCGGCAGCCAAGGTGGGCAATTGTATGCAAATTGCTCGATGCTCCTGCGGTGAACTTCTTAACTGTTTCTTAATAAAATAACAAATTCTTAGGGAAATAACTGTGCTGTAGAGGAGGGAGGAGCAGGAACTCCCAGAGAAATGAAAGTGGGTTCAAACATTCAAGAGATTCTCACAGAAAAAAAAAAAGGAAGAAGAAAAAAACAATTGGGGAAACTATCGCTTTGCCCGTGGCCTTTCCAACAGCCCACACCAACTGAGCCTTTTCACCTAAAAGGAATGGCTGTTTGATGGCAGTGGCAGGTGGGGTTATTTCACATAATGAGAGACACTTTAAGGAGCATAAAAACCATCTAAAAGCTGAGATTAGAAACAGTAATGTGTCTCTTAGGATCAGTGAGACCACACCCCGGAGAGCGAACAGATGCAGCCGGCCACATTAGCAGCGGCAAGGGACGGAGATAAAGGAGAGAAGCTCTGGGCCCATAGTACTGTCTGAAATCAGATTTAGATCCCATTCTTACATTCAAATCATATTACGCCGCACAGCTATTTGCAGAGTAGCTATCTATCACTCAGATACACACTGTCAACACGATCCGACCATCTGTCAGTACTTACCTCCACAAAGCTCCCAGATATGGCCCTGATGGAGCTACTCAGGAATCCGGTGCTTTGAAATCACTCCTCGTCGATGCGGGCTTTGTTGCGGAATACAGATATATGGAGAACTCTAAATCATATTCCACAACAAGCGCGGGACCGGAGCAGCTTTTCCAACATCTGTTCCTCAGATTTCCCAAACAAACAGTGCACGTTCCGATCATTGATTTCCCATTAAATGCTCACCCAAAAATAAGAGTGACAATGTTTGATTCATGAGCTCACAACGCAACAATGAACAACTTAGCTTGTGGATAAAACTCGGAAATATTAATCTAAAGTTACAGAGATGGGATTTGGGAATTTGAAAGCAGAGGAACAAACCCCTGACAGCAGAACTGCTCTTGCTGTTTGGTTTGATGTAAAATGTCTTTCATTTCAGCCCCTTCAGCTCTCGCTCGCTGGGTAAAAAAAATAAAAAAGTAAAAATTCCACTTTCTTTATTTAAAAAAAAGGTGGCCTTGAGAGTTTACAATCAAGCTAATGGGGGACTTAACTAATTGAGTCTCCTGCTTCTTTTGGCATGTTTTATGTTTCCGCGGAGCTCTTCTATCTGCATTTTCTTGGCAGATTGTGTAATCACTGCAGCAACTACTACTCCTTCGGAATTCAAAACACGCTGTACCAGATCCAGATATCTACTCTGCACAAACGAGACCCCCCCCCCCCCCCACAGCCCCGGCTGCTGAGGCCACAGATCGGCCCCCCCATGTCCCTCCTGCTGTGTTTGTGACTGCTCCTGCTAAAGGTCAGCGGCTGATTGGTGCACCGTGTGACCACATAATCAAGGAGAGGGATGATTGAAGATTCTCGGAGATGAGGCATCATTTGGCTTGCAGGGTTTCAAAAGGGGGAAAAAAATCTGGCTGCCGTGCACTTTGTTTGCCGAATATCTTTCTTCTGTCCTCATTTATCTCAAACTTTCAGCAGCTCGAAGGAAAACTTTCATACGGCAAATATTGTCCTGAAAAAAATGCTTAAAATTATTAAGATTTTGCAGGATCCCATCAGTGTCCACTAATGCTAATTTAAGAATGTCCTACTAAGTCCCGATTTTTGCTCTATAAGCTCAGTGCATCAGATGATGTTTAGTGAACAGCAATCAAAAGTTAGTACAGGCGGTTTCTTCCTACATGTTGGAAATAAATGACACTTATTTAATATTGCTCATCACCGAAACGTTTGTGTTTATTTGTTTGCTAAATATTTAATGAATCTCTTGATGGATTTTAATAAAACTCAGAGTAATTACTAAATTCCCATCTAACACAACTCATTAATGTTTGGACTCAGCTCAAGCTGACCTAAATCAACCTTGTCAATCACAGAGATGGCTGTGCCTAAGGCGAGAGACCCCCAACACACACTCACAGATAGCACAGGAATTTTGTTGAAAACTTTGACATTAAAACCAGTATCTCACTGGGTTGTATTATAATATAATTTTAAAGTTTAGCAGCTGAGAAGAGCAGAGACTCATGAGACAGAGTGAAAGTTGAGTGAAGTATATAGTGAACTGGTCCTGATCTGTGAGAAGGAAAAGAGATGGTAAGTGTAGATCATCAAAGTTTTTGCCAACTTTTCTTTCACCACCATGAGTCGCCAACAGCTGCATCCTATGCTAATCCTGCCTTTTGCTCCTGCAGCATTCTGACTGGCCAGCAGCAGAACCTCCCTGATGACACCCGGGGCTTTGTAAGACTCCTCTTACAAACAGATCACCCCTGGAATATAACATGCTTTATAATATGAGGCTTATTGTATAAGTTCTGAGCTGCATAAGCTGTTGTATGTCTAAGAAATACTTTCATGTGTTTCTGATATCCTTATATTTACCATGTTGGCACTTCCTGAAGAATGACCCTGGCACCTTGTGATTCATCTTATGTGGGAGACGCCATTCACCTGTTAACCTCCCTGATATGAGGTTAAAGTTTAGTATAGTTGTAGCTGAGTTATTTTTTAAAGGGGCAATATCATGTAAAGTCATTTTTTTGTTTTGTATCATGTTATAATGTTTTACTCTCATAAAAAACATGACCAAAGCCTTGCTTTGACTCAATCATGCATGTTTGAGAAATCCTGCAGCGTTTTTAGGCAGACATGCTGAGGAGCAAAACGACAGGTGGAGACCAGAAATGCTTTTTGGGACCAGACACGCCCCAGGGACGTGTCTTTAAGCTGAACTTCCTCATTGCGGAGC